CACCTTTCCATATAAATTTATCAACAATGTATAAGTTTCAGTAGATGGCTCGCAGCCATCCTTTTTCATCCTTTGGAAAATCTCTTCTGCTTTGTCAGGATTTCCTCCTTTCATTAATCCATTTATATAAGCGTTGTATACAACTGCACCTGAGTTATTCATTCTGATAAATGGTTAGCTATTTACAGGATCAAATTTCCAGTTATCTTGAATGGATGCATATATAAGTTGTCCAAAAAAAATGGTTTTTATAAAGTAAATCTTGGATCAAACTCACTAAATGCAGAGGAAAACTAAAGTTGTTGTAAGCATGATGCATACAACGTACCTATCACTTACCTAATGTGTGAATCTAAAATTAGATGCTCATCACATAATTGCCCAGAAAATTTGGCAAGAAAACCTTTTCTCTATCCTAGGTTCCTAGTAACCTCAGAGAAATTAGTCTCCCAACAACATCAAAAAAACAATTGCTGAACTGATACAGGTAACCCAGACATAATAGAATGTCTGCAACATATCTAGACGGCATGTCTAACTTATTCATGAACCGTGAGGGGTCAGGGGAAAGAGCAATGAACTGGCATTTTGTTTGGAAAAATTATAGCCTATTTACCTCTTCTTATTTTATACGTGCCTTTTATTGGTATTTATACTAATGTAACTCAGCAGTGTCCTCATACTTTTGAATACTAAAATTACCTAGATTGTCCAGGTCCTCAATATCAAGCAGAGTTGGAAAATTATAACATTTTTAAGATTGAGAGTAACAAGTCTCATTTCAATCTCAACCTTCTTTGCATATGCTAAACTGATTACAGTACAAAGTATTAAACATCTTTGAAGTAGCTTAAATGACCACATCTGCAGAAGAAAAAGCATAGGTAAATATGCTAGATCAGATAATGGATTGCAAACTACCTCTAAGAAAGCTATAAAGAATTCCAACAAATGAAAGACATTTGTGTGGTTGATATATTTTTATGGCGTTAAACTAATAATGATTTTGAGAACTATCAACATGTCAAGTCCCCAATCTTTGATCATATTTCTTTTTAAGCATGTATGGGTAAACAAGTTGATTCAGAACATACTTGAAGGAAGGCCATAACTTCGCATTTCGGCAAAGACAGCTTCAGCTTTTTGGAACAGCCCGTACGTGCAATAGGCCTTTATAAGAAGGGCATAAGTATCTTCAGTAGGAATACATCGAGCCTCAAGAAGCTGAAGATATGTGGATTCTGCCTCCTTATACAGAAACTTTTGCCCAAAAGCATCTATGAGTAAATTATAGCATATCACATCTGGCTTGAAGGAGCTCCTTATCAGTATCCATCTACATATCTGAGTTGAAAATATTCAAATGTAAGTGACTTGATTTCTAAATAAATTAAGTGAGTATCATATAAATGCAAAAAGATCCGACCTATAACCTTAAATGTGACTATAGATTTTTTTTTTTATTTTGTTATGAATATCAATTATGTACCAAAAGGTCAATTGTTCGATTTTGGAGAAAAGTATCTGTTCATAGAGGGCATTCAGCAGTATGTGTTTTTCTAAAGAATCAATTCAACCTAAAAACTTAAGTTATTAGGTGATGTTACCTTTGTAAAGAACCTTGGGATACACCACCCCAAAAGCTAGCTCAAAGGGTGGGAGTGTCCAAGACCTTATAAACTCCACATTAGTTGCACATACAACAAATATGAGACTATATATCTCAACACGCCCCCTCACACGAAAGCCCATTGGACTTGAAGAGTGGAAGATGCAACAGGCCCAGCCTACCTGTGTTAAGAAAGTCCACAAGAAAAAGTGAAGGGCGGCGAGACTCTGATACCATGTAAAGAACCTTGAGATCACCACCCCAAGAGCTAGCTGTTGGGGTGGTGTATCCCAAGGTTCTTTACAACCTTAAAGGGTTTTTTATACTTCTCTAACACGCCTTGAAAGGATGGATAATGCACAGGGCCACAGGCTCACCTACGTGTATTAAGGAACCATATAAGACTTATTTATTAACTAAACGGGGGCGGTGAGTATCAAACCCGTAACACCAAGGTTATGATATTATGTAAATAACCAATTCAACCCAAAATCTTAAATTATTAAGTGAGGCTACCTTATGGTTTTTTATACTTCTCTGACAAGTTCCTTACCGAAATGATTGAATCCCACTGTTTCCTCATCCGAAGTTGAACAGCCACAGTGAAAAGATCATCCCATGTGTCAAGAGAGGCAGGAAGCATGTCCAGTAAACCCCAAATACTCTCAGTAGCCACACCCTTTTGAACGTAGTCCAGAATCTGCTGTGCATTGGGACTCAACACCGGGAATATCCCATCAACAAACCCAGAACCGTATTTCCATCCTCGTCCTCTCAAAGAACCACCTGGTCATAGAAAATAACACACTTTTCAAACATGACACACACACGCACATTCCAACTCGTGTTTCATCACACAAGTGAACAAACTTGTGTTACAGCACAGCATTACATCTTTTCCTGGACAATTTCTTGTGATTGAAGTTCCTTAAGTTGCCAGTTTTGTCAATATAAACGCTGTCTCTTTTGAACTTCTCCAAAGCCACTCCACCGGAATCATTTGTTTTTCGTTCAAGTTTATTCATGCAAGTTCTTGGTTCTATAAATATGTGGTTCACTGTGCATACAGAATTTAACCTGCAGATAACAGCATCAGTTTAAGTCTTAGTGTCACTTCAAAATAAAGTTGCAAAATGAACATTCCTAATATCCTATAGGATAAAAATGTAAACGCATTGGGCTATGTCCAAACATGGGTGAGAAAGAATGGAACACAAAATTGGAATGAAGAAAAATGGAATGGAGCTCACATGAAGGCACGTAGGAGAAGGTCCGAATTCTGGATAATGAATGAATGGATTTTATTTTATTATTTTTAGGATATGGTTCGAACAAATGCACTAAGTAGAAAATATCCATGAAAATATCTTTGGAAATGTTCAGAAAGGCCAAGGCCAACAATGTACCGTGATAACATGTTAAGCAAAAATGATTGGTAACTGAGTTTTTATATATATAGAGGTTCATAAACAAGTAATTAAATATGATTTATATTTAATTAATCATTTTCTTTTAAGTTTAATATATTTATGATATTTTCCTGAACTCTACTTTTAATATTAATACTATGTTTGATTGAGAGGAAAAGATACCAAAAGAAAAACAAAATTGATTCAAACCTTTCTTTGAAAGATTTTTAATGACGAAGAAAGGAGAAATAATTTATTTTAAATTAAATAAAGTGAAAGAAGTCTCATTTTTTTTTTCCTTTTCCTCATTTAAATAGTCAATCATGAAGGGGCATTTAAATATTTAATCATGAAAGAAAATAATTCTTCTTCCATCCTCTTGGTTCTTTTCCGTTTTCATTCCTTCTCTCTTAACTCTTTTTTCTCATTTTTTCATTTCTCGACATCTTATTATTGACAAGAACCAAATATTCTAATCATATAATTCAACTACATATATTAAGCACGGTTGTAAAACCTGGCTCATCCGGTCGGGTCAACCCGAAATGAGGCGAATCAGTTATTGGATCGGTTCGGGTTAAATATTGGACCAGTCATGCATCGATCTGGTTAAATTCGATCAAAACTCGGACAAAACCGACCAAACCTGGTCAAAATTGGTGACCCGGTCAGATCATGCATTTTTTTAAAAAAACAAAAAGCAAAAAATCAAAATTGTTTCATCTTTTCAAAAAAAATGTAGAACTCATTTTAAAAACTTTTTTTTAATTTTATTTGTCAGTATACTCTTCTAAATGACCTCAAATTTTAACTTCCAATACTGAAGCAATTTACGGAATAATAAATTAAGAGAATGTGACACATGTCATTTTAATGTAGTTGAATTTAAAAAATATGAGTTCAATGTTATTGAGAAGTATGTTTATAAGGATTCTAAGTTGCTATTTAAATTGAGTAATAACATTTATTTTTATTTATTTATGCTTTATGTTTTTTAGTTTATTTAGTGAACTTTGTTTAATTCATTTTAGATACGGAGAATATAATTGAATTTATATGTTCATATTTATATATATTTTTATATATCTATATATATTCAGATCAACCGATCCGACTAGTGATCCAATACCTCAATCAGATCAATGCCCGGGTCGAATTTAATAATAGTAATATTAAGAATGCTAAAGACCCAACTCGACCTCACAAGTCACAACTAAATGAGATGGGTTTATTTCACCCAAAAAAGGAGGATGAGGCTTGTGTGCAAAAATTAAATGTAGTGAAATTTTAATGTATGATATGTCCACACTTTAATGTTGACTATATCTACCTCGATATTATATAATATTATATTCTTTATAATTTTGTTGAAATACAATTTTTTTAACTTAATTTAATATCTTATACATAAATAATAATATTAATATGTTTAAAAATATTTATTATAAGACTCTCCTAAATATGATTTTAATTTATAAAATTTGAATTCGAATTTAAGATCACTAATTAAACTGAAACAATTATATATGAGTTAATTCACATTTTTAGTAATTTTTTTACTAATCTTTTTTTTTTTTGTATAACTTTTTTACTAATCTTTTAAATTACTGGTTTTTGGTTGAAATTTTTTTATTCGAGTTTATTATAATAGAAATTTAATTCATATGATATCACTTAAACATCCTTTGTAAGAAATAATTAACATTGTATTTTAATTATATTAATAATTTAATATTTATTATTAACATACAATGTTTGTGATAACAATAAATTCAGTTTAAATATATCAGTTAAAATCCGTTTATTTTTCTCCATCGTAATACTAGTTAGATGAAAGAAATAAAAGAAAGAAAGAAAATCCCAATACGTGCCACACGATCTGCAAATTCGCATCTAAGGTGTCGAATCCAACGGCTTAGAAAAAAAAGACCGTGGTCTCAATTTTTTTTTTTTTTTTGGCTTTCACACAACCCCTCGAGCAAGTAAGAAAATAAGCAAAAGTCGACCTATGCTCGTCCCTCAGAGACTACAGTGAGGAAGGAGCAAAACGAAGTGCCTTTTGGGTAACTCGCAATTTCCCTCTTCTCATTCTCTTCTCTTTTGTGCCTTTATTCTAATCTCTTTGGCCTTCGCCATTTTATGCAGTGATTTCATCGAATCGAATCGAATCGAAGATGTTTCTCACAAGGTGACTTCTCCCTCTTTTGTTTGCAAAATCCATTTCAGGGTTTTTTTTTTTTTTTCCATCTTGTTCGATTTAATTGATGAATGGGTTCTCCCGAAATCTAATGTTTGTTTAATTGTCATTTGTGTGAGTGAAATAGGACTGAGTATGACCGAGGAGTCAACACCTTTTCTCCTGAAGGCCGTTTGTTTCAGGTTGAATATGCAATCGAGGCCATCAAGGTATGCTGCTTCCCCCTTATCTCTCCATTTTCTGTTATTTTTATCAGGCAAATCAACATGTAAGGGGAAAAAAAGAAGATAAGAAAAGGGTTTTACAACTACAAGAAAAATTTGTGGACTTGTATGAAAAAAATGTAACTTTTGTGTTGGCATGTTTGTGTTTGTAAATGGGTTTTTATTGGATTGCAGCTGGGATCAACTGCTATTGGGTTGAAGACGAAAGAGGGTGTGGTCCTTGCAGTTGAAAAGCGTATAACTTCGCCGCTGCTGGTCTGGCTTTGTTACATTTTATTTTATTTTGAATTACATTAGTTGAATTTTATCATCTTATTGTGACACTTCAACGCATGAATGTGCTATTAGCCATCATTGTACAATTTGATGTTGTTCAGGTAAGAAAGATGTATATGCAAAATATCGATTGTTGACCCAAATGTGCTCCGCTTAAATTGAATTTCGAGGGGTATCCTGTTGATTTTTGGATCTACTTCTGATTTTTGATAATCGATGTTCATTTTAGATACAATGTGTGCTGTGCATATGACTATATACCATGAAGAATAATGCTGTTTACCTTGATCTTCTTTTCTCCTTCTATTGTTCATATTGTTTCAGGCTAAAAGATATCTATTTTTCTTTGGGGATCAAAGGATTAGATCATTTATTGTTAGATTCTACATGCAATAAGCCTCTTAATCTCTAATTATATTATAACCTAACTCATTGTTCATCTGGATTTTATTTGGCTTAAAGAAATATGATTGTCTTGTAATCATTTTCTCTTTGCATTGTGATTTGTTTGCTTGCATGAAACTTCTAATATTGTTTTATTTTAAAAAATTCTCTTTCAGGAGCCTAGCAGTGTGGAGAAAATTATGGAAATCGATGATCATATAGGTTGTGCAATGAGTGGATTGATTGCTGATGCTCGAACACTTGTTGAGCATGCACGAGTGGAAACTCAGGTATTGTTAATCTCATAGGACGTAGTAGGTAGTTGATTAGCTAATGAGTGTGTAAATATATGTTGGTTTATTGTTCACAGAATCATAGGTTCTCCTATGGTGAACCGATGACTGTAGAGTCAACAACTCAAGCTCTTTGTGATCTAGCCTTGCGTTTTGGTGAAGGAGATGAAGAATCCATGGTAAAGAGCTTCTTAGTTTTGATATTTATGTCTATTTTGTTTTCTTGCTTATCATGCTTTGTTTAGGCCCACCAATTCATGAATATTGCTTGCTGAGTTGCTCCTTATTTACATATCTAGAAATACCGATGCCTTATACATTGCATTTCACGAATGTTAATTGGAGATATAAAGAGTTATTATTACGTTAAAATTTTGGGATGCACCTTATCTATGTATTACATCAATTGTTGAACAAACAACTTTTCTAATTAAGGGTAAAATTCCTCAGGTAATGTTCTTTTGGGATAGACTGTTTCAGTTGCATGTGCCAATAACCTTTTTCTTTTGTACAAAATACTAAATGGTGACAGTCCTGTAGCAGGAGATCAACGGGTATGCATTTTAACATGTGCAATCTTTTCTCTTTTGCAGTCTCGACCATTTGGAGTGTCTCTTCTCATTGCTGGCCATGATGAGAATGGACCTAGTTTGTAAGTATTTGTTCCTTCTGTTAAGTAATGTCTGCATGTGCGTAATGTGATGGAAGTGTTCTTTTGGCACATTTTCTGTTTTTATCCAGTGATTGCTTTAAAGGTTTGTTTGTTTAAATCTATATGAGATTGGTGATCTTTTTTTGAATTGATGTTGTTGTTCCTTGTTTCTTATGCTCTTTTTTTTGGGGGGGGGGGGGGATCAGCGTGAAATTACATAGAAAGGAAATCTTGGCAAAAATATTTCAAGAACAATTACAATTTTACTGGTCAATCATGTTCAAAGAGTGATTTATAAGTAACCACTTATTGACTTGATCAACTACTTGGGTGTTCAACTGTTGCTAAATTTGACAGATTTTTTTCCAATAATTCCTTTTCTGTAATTTCTCTCTTCTTTTTCCGGATCCTGAGAGAATAACTTATGCGCTTCCTTTCTATATTATTTTTCTTCGTCCTTTCTCAAAGGAACTGTGAAGTTCTTGGAAGCTATTTCATAGTCATTTATTACTGCCTCACTTCTTATCATTCTTTTTATCGTTTAAAGAGAATGCCGTTTTAGGTTCTGCAATGTACCTCCTTCTCTTAACTTTGGTTTGCTGTGCAAATACATTGATTATTTTTGGTGTGTGTGGTTCGGCTGTCTACCCTGCAAGTTCAACTCAGAGAGCAAAATATATCGATCTTAGTTTCTCCATTGAAACCAGTTACTGGTTGCAACTTATCACTTTTTTTACCTTAATGTTAAAACAAGAGGGGTGTAGTTGTGTACCTCACCTCCACATAAAGGCTTAAGTCACTAGACGATGCTGTTTAATTTGTTGCTGCTGGTCTGGTCTTGTTCACACCCTTTATCATTTTGGACTTCTTATTCTTACTGCACTGAGATGTTCTGATTTGCAGATATTACACCGATCCATCTGGCACATTTTGGCAATGCAATGCAAAAGCTATTGGTTCAGGGTCGGAAGGTGCAGACAGTTCCCTGCAAGAACAATACAACAAGGTATCCATGTTCTTAGTGTGGGTTGTTTCTCAACCTTCTGTGCTTATAACAGTAAAATTATACTTGGCTGGGATTGGTAAGTGGAAAATGAATGAAAACATATAAAAATGAGGAGACATGAACCCGTAATTCTTGACAGGTCAGGTAGAGAAGAACGAAAACATGCTATACAATGATTACCTTAGTACCGGTATAAATAACATGTCTAAGAGGTAACACTATTCGAACAATGTAGAAATCCCAAAAAAAAAATTTACTTTCAAGATTTACCTTTCATTTAATTCATGAGATCATCAACATCAACAACACTTTTATCCCAATCTTGTTGATGTTGATGTTCTCATGAATTATGAAAATTAGGTAAATCATGAAGTAAAATTTAATTTTTGGGGAATTCTACATTGTTGGAAATTGTTGGAATAGTGTTACCTCTTAGACGTTATTTACTACGGTACTAAGGTAATTCATAAACATAAAATAAAATAAAAAACAATAAATCCATTCCCCATTAAACTCCGACTAGTGAGAGTAGAGTGAGGGCCATCCTTGTCTGACCTTTGCATATTTGCAAAGAGAGTGTTTATCGAATTCGAGCCCATGACCTTTTGCCCTCTTAGGTACTAAAATAATTCATGAGAAGATAAAATAAATCTTATCAATGATGAGCAGAATTGATTTTTTTGAAAGAAGAAAATTCCTGTTGTATCCTATCCCTGTGCTGCCAAGTAAGTATAACCTAGTTAACTGTTTAGTTGACAGTGTTCCTTTTTTGTTTACAACTTCACATTTCTCCAAAGCATAATTATTTTTGTCCAATTTATGTCCGTCTCATGTGTTTTTCGTCTGGAAAATGTTAAACTGGTAAAATGTTTTGATGATGTCAATTGTCAAATTAATGTGACGCCATTTGTGTTCAAATTAACATGCTCCTGAATTGTTTTGGAGTTTCCGTCTTGTTGCTTTGAAGGATTATCTTTCATGGTAGAGGCATTAAGATGACATGAAAAGACAATTTAGTGTTAATTTATTACGTTGTGCAGGACCTAACTCTTCAAGAAGCCGAGACTATTGCTTTATCCATTCTGAAGCAAGTTATGGAAGAGAAGGTAAGGTTAAAATTAAGTGCATGTACTGCCAATTGTGTCCCCCCTTCCCCCAAAATGGAATGGAAAATGAAATATAATTTTTTCTTTTTTATTTTCATCTTAGGTCACCCCCAATAACGTTGACATTGCCAAGGTGGCTCCAACATATCATCTTTATACACCCTCAGAGGTGGAAGCTGTGATAAGTCGCCTATGATTTCCTTTTGCGTAATTTGCTCTCTTCAACATTTGTTTTCTATCATTGCTGCCTGTACGTCTATTAATTAGTTTTGCGCGGAAACTTTTTTTGGTGGATGATGCTACATGTAGTGCTACACTTAATTGTACCTGATGCTTGATTCTCGTGTCAAATTTGCTGCATTCAGTTTAGTTGAATTTGAGGACCGAAAGGTTTCGGTGTTTGGGAAAAACAATACATTGATGCTCTTATTTCGCCTATGATTTCCTTTTGCGTAATTTGCTCTCTTCAACATTTGTTTCCTATCATTGCTGCCTGTACGTCTATTAATTAGTTTTGCGCGGAAACTTTTTTTGGTGGATGATGCTACATAGGGATGGCAAAACGGGCCAACCCGGCCCAACCCGCATTCAACCCGTAAAAAACGGGTCGGGTTAGGATTGACTCGAAAAAATAAACGAGCCAGAAAACTTAACCCAGCTCGACTCGAGCCGGGTTAGGGTTGGCTCGATAATCAGCTCGCGGGTTGGCTCGGAAAAAAGCTCGCGGGTTGGCTCGAAAAAAACTCGCAGATTAACTAGAAATGATGCCAGTGGGTTGGCTCGCGGGTTGGTTAACTCGAAATATTGGCTCGTGGGTTGGCTCGCGGGTTGTACGCAGCCCTAACAGGATCATTTCGTTCATCTTCCCACCCAATGTAAGCTGCCACCATGCTATTAAACCATATCTTGCGTTGTCTTTTCTCATCATACTTTACACCCGAGATTGGACCTATAATTGTTTTCACTCCTCCATCTTCCAACCATTCCAGCTTCATACCCAGTTTAGCAGCCCTGCAAATTATTCCAAGTGAGACCATTGCCAAAGCATGAAGAATAAGAGCTACACATAAACTCACTGATCAAATATGCAACATTTTTTCTTCACATAAAAATAAAGAGGATCCTTTTAAAAAAGCAGAAACCTTTGCTCGGCGATGGCCTTATTGCTGGTCAAGAAGTTTGATTTCCAGCCACGGCCAATTGGGGATGAAGGATTGTCGTCTTTCCCTAAAACCCTAATGTACAACAAACCATGTTCCTCTAATCTGTCCACAAAATCAGGGTACTTGTCCTTCATCCTGTTATACACAACATGGCTAAGAACAATTAGGGTTTCACCCCCACTCCCAGGTTCCACTTCACAGAAGAAAAACAATTTGGAAGGAAATTCACGAACCTGTTCAAAAACCCCAATTCAAAAAAAAAATATTCAACCCGTGAGCTGACCCGTTTGACCCGCGAGCTGACTCGTTTGGATCTGGGTTATATCGGGTCGGGTTGACAGCTCATTTAGGCCAACCCAACCCAGCTCATTTAGGACGGGTTGCCTTGTTTTTGCCATCCCTAATGCTACATGTAGTGCTACACTTAATTGTACCTGATGCTTGATTCTAGTGTCAAATTTGCTGCATTTTAGTTGAATTTGAGGACCGAAAGGTTTCGGTGTTTGGGAAAAACAATACATTGATGCTCTTATCCACAACTAAACACAAACACCCCGCTAGTATATTCTTAACTGTATTTTGAGATATTGAGTGGGGAGATGGAGGCGTGTTTGCCGAGCATTTATGAATAATTCAAGTCATTTAAAAAAAATAAAGGGAAAAAAAAAAAACTAGACTGTGAACTGTATGCATTATATCTACACTATTAAAAGGATCAGTAGTAATTTTTCACCTTTATTTTTTATTCTGAGTCTCAAAAAATATCTCACTTCATTCAAATATAGGATTTTTAAATATATGATGCATTTTGATATTTAAAAATAAAATGTTTTTATGATTATGATATTATAAGTTTTTTTTTATCTTTTAAGAGAGGCACTGAGATTAATTTTTTTTAGCTTTTTAAATAAATTTATTTAATTATTACAAAAGAAATTTAGTCTTTTTTTCATCAAAGAAATCAGAGGGATATGTGCAGATTCAAATAAATTTTTTGTAATATATATGGCAAAATGATTTGTCTTGTGATCAGATTTAAGGTTTGGTGTGGTCAAAAAATTATAACTATATATTATGGGTAGTACATAATTATCATATTAAAGTTGTGTTCTTTATCAAAAAAAAAAAAGTTGTGTTCTTTTCTCTCTTTAGAAATTTAATTATGTACTAAGGTTAATACATAATTATAATATGAAAGTTATTTTTTTCTCTCCTATGTCACTCGACAACTGAAAAGTTATTTAGGAGAGAAAAAGAAAACAGCCTTGATATTATAATTATGTATTATTCGTAATAAATAGTTAGATTATAAAGAGAAAAAGAATACAACTTTAATATTATAACTATGTACTATCTATAATATATAGTTATAATTTTTTGACCGCATCAAACTTCAGATCCGTTAAACCATATATATAGGTAAAATTATTTCTACAACCGCTTTACGTACAGTGACAGGTGTATGGTTATGATTTTTCATATTTATATACGGGAAATTATAACCATATAAGGGTGAAAATAAATATAAAGTATTAAATATGAGGAATCATGATCATACAAAGATGGAAATAAATATAACCGTTAGATTAACATAATCGATCTAATGGTGAAATTGATTGGTAGTAACATTAATTGGTTGTTACAATATCCTTCCCATATATATATATATATATATATATATATATATAGGGTTCGTTTTTTCTGCAATTACTGCAGATAAGTTATCTGCAGTAAGCCCAATACGACGTCGTTTTGGGTGAAAATCATGGTGTTTTTATAATTTTAATTTATTTCAGGGTTATAATAGTCTTTATATTTATAATTTTTTAAGATTTCAATACCAAAACGACATCGTTTTAAAAAAAATGCAGATAATTTATCTGCATTAACTGCAGAAATATTTTTCCCATATATATATATATATAGGGAATGTTATATTTATAAACTTTTTGTTTACAAACTACAAAAAAATTCCAACGAATAGGATACGCGTTCCAGACGGATACGCTTCCGATACCTATTTTGCCATATTGGGTGGGTCAATAGCATTCGATACGGTCAACCAAAATAAATTGGGTTCCCCCAAAAAAAATTCCTAAATTTGTTGCTCGAAGCTCCTGCTCCATCGTCGCATTCTGTAGCGTTCTGAGGCGCTTTGACCGTCGCACTTAGAAATCGTATTCTGAGCTGCTCCACCGTCCTGACCCCAATCGTCGCATTCTGTAGCGTTCTGAGGCGCTTTGACCGTCGCATTCTGAGGTGGTCCACCGTCACATTCTAAGTTGCTCGCCTGCTCCATCGTCCCGTTCTGAGCGTCACGTTCTCTATGCTCTGCCTCTGGTTTGTCTTCAACTCTTCCTTGTTAGCTGTGAGAAAGAGAGAGGAGAGGAAAGAATATTGTGCGTGTGAGAGAAAGAGAAAGAGAGAAAGCATTGTGGCGGCGGATGAGGAGGTGAAGGGCATGGTAGTTAAAATCTTGATTTAAATATACGATTTTACGATTTTTTTTAATCAAAACGATTTCATCAAAATTCCAAACGTTTTTATGATTTTTTACGATTTTTTTTACGTTTTACGATTTTTTATTCTTCTTCCTATTTTAGGTAAAATCTCGATTTTAACTACCATGGTGAAGGGGATGAAAACTTAGGCTTTTAACTTTATATTAACCTAATCTGATTATGGGGCTTTTTTTGGAATGAATTGGGCTTGGGCTAACAAAATTAGACTTGGACTAACCTAATTCATATGGATTGAATTTAAGTTAAAAAACTTATTATTTTAATGAAAACACAACTTTAATAACTATTATTCATTAATATATTTTAATATATTTTTTATCTAATTATAAATAAAAAAAAGTAAAGGGAAAAAGTAATATAAATAATTATATTAAAAATATTATTTACTATTAAGACGTATCGGAACGTATCAAAATATTGGTATTTTTAAGGTAACGTGTCGAGAACGTATCGGAAATGCCGTATCCGAATCGGTGTTTCATAGAGTATGACTAGTCATACTTTAATCAAGAATGTATGACGGGTAATACTTAGTAATTTGTATAAAAAATTTATAAACGAATTCTTCCCATACAGGGGTGTTTTAAACTGTTCCGCTTTCTTTCTTCTTTTCTTACGGGTAAAACACTGTCATCATGTGCACCGCCACGCCACGCCACGCCACGCCACGCGCATCATGGTGAAAGGTCTATTTGAGGATCGATCACCTATGGTGAGGGTATTGTCAAAAACTTGTTCTCTTGCACTTGCTATAGCATTATAATTATCAACAAAGGAAGTTGCACATTGGCAAAGGAGAGAATTATATTTATAAACTTTTTGTTTATAAATTCTTATAAATTATATTATGTATTCTCGAAAATACATTAAGTTATATTATGTATTTTTGAGAATATATAGTATAATTTATAAAAATGTATAAAAAAAATGTAAACAAATCATCCCTCAATAAAGATATATGGCTTCGTGTAAGAAAAAAAAATATATATATGGCTTCTGCATCAAAGTTCAAGTGGTTAGTAATTTACTTTATTAGATAAAAGTTCAAGTGGTTAGTAATTTACGTTTTATAAAAGTTATGTTGTAGGAAAAGTGATTGTGTTATGTTATAGAGATTCGTTTTGCGTGTCAAAGTTTTTTTTTTTTTTTTTTGCTGCGGGCCCCACAAAATATTGTGTGTGTAGGAAACTTTTTGTGGTCATGTTAAATGATAGATGATAAACCCAAAAAGGGAAATATAATCATCATGTTACATGACACAAGTTATATCATGTTGTAGAGATAAAATTGGTAGGATCCATTGTTTAATTTTGTTTTGCCTGAGGCAGAGATGTCTAACCGATGGTTAGATGGTTGATATTGGATTTTGTGCTTTATCTTTAGATACCTATGAACTAAGTATCTTAGGGTCAGCAAATCACTACACACTTTATGACGGCCTCAGCCAATGAGGTGTGTGTGCGCGTTCTGTGATTGCGTAAAATAGGGTTAAAGAGAGATCAGTCATACCTGTGATCTTTAGCTCCTATTTATAGTGCTTACCTTTGGGCTTGTATGATTTGGGCTTCTTGTGAATATGAGCCTTACTCAGGTCCATAACAAATTTTTATTTTATTTTTTATTTAAACAGTGAACCCCACCAACTTTATCTCTACGACATGATATAAGTTATATCATGTAACATGACCAAATATAATCCCATAAAAAAATCCAGCCTATAAGAGGAACAATCCCAAGTTCAACTAACCAAGGGACTTTAGATAAGTTGAGCCATGTGACTCAAAAGACTAGTCCAAGTTATCATAGGTAGTCAATTTTCAGACCTTATACACTATTTGATGGACCCAATAAATGAACCCAGGCCCAATAACCTCCACAAAGTAATCCCATTCAATAGTTAATAACACTGATTAAAAGGAAAAGAAAAATGATCAACCGGACATTTTGACCAAAAAATTAATTAGTAAATCAAATAGGGTGTCCGATTGAACTGGTAAAAACCAGTTTAAATTAGTTTTTTTTCCCATTTCAACATAAACCATTTAGAGGCAAATGAAAGCCCAATTCGATATTACAAATCTATATATACTGGACTCTTGTAAGTCATGAGATCACTTACTCTTCTCTTAGGGTTGGCAGGAGGTGAAAAAAAAAAATTCTAGAAAAATAGGGTGAAAAAGTTATTTGCCTATATTTGGTAGGAGATGAAATAAAAATATAGCTGAGAAATTTTTTTCCCCACCATTTACTTTTTTATGTAAAATAGTTGGGGAAGATTACCATTGAAGAAGTGGAATTGTTATTTTTCCATGTGGTGGGAAAATTACCACACAACATCACTAAATTAACTCAAAATTTTCGAAAAAAATTCGGCCTACCAAATACGTTTTAATAACTTACCCAGTAAAAAAAATTCCCATCATATTCCCATAAATTATTTTTTTCTAATAAAATTTTTTTTCCTCTATCAAACATCTCTTAAGGTTTCACATATGTTGTAGGTTTAGATATTCCACTCACTATTCTACTGACTTGTGACTACAATTTTTTCTTAACTTTTATATACGTTGTATGTTTAGGTGTTTCACTCAATAACAAATGAGATTTATTAATAGGAGACAACTCGTTTCATATCATAGATATAAAATATGTGGTGTCCACTATTTGTTAAAAAAAAGATTAAAGGGACCCTCGTTTTTTTTTTTTTTTTTTTTTTTTTGTATAGGAGAGGGAACATTCTCTCCAAATAACATGAGAAAATATTTTCCCATACCAAATTACAAATCTCTATATTACTAGGGCCATGTATAACTATTAACTAAATCACGAGATGACTTAATGCTCTCTTAAGTTTTCAGATATGTTGTAAGTTTAGATATTCCAACCACTATTCTATATATTAACTTTTATATGTTGTATATATTAATTTCTTTGTTTTATTCCATGGGATATTTGTTAAATGATTATTATTTAATATCTTATTATTAATTTCTTATCTTGCATGAGGCATATAACATTGCTTAATATATATATATGGGAAATACTATTCTCCTTTTATATAAGATAACTTCTTTCTTACTCTCTCATTTCGATTTTCGCACCTCACCTTTTTTCTTGTAATGTGCGACCCATCTATTTTCTCTCTACAACATAAGATAATTATCTTATGTAAAATGAGAATAATAAAACCCTATATATATATAGAGAGAGAAAAACACTTCTCATGTTGCATGAGAAGTGTTTTCTCATGTTGTGATTCTTCGATTTGCGTACAAAGCTTTCTTTCTATTTTTTCTTTTTTTAATAAGTGTGGGACCATCAACAAGTTGAGTCACAACATGAGAATTCAATTCTCATGCAACATGAGAAAATCAAAACTCATATATATATATATATATGTCTTATTTGACATTGATTCAACAATGGTCGAACTAATGTCTTCACCAATTACTACTAGAGGAGGGATATTTTCACTTCCAAAATTTTCCACTACCAATTTACTACATATCTAATCACCGTTAGATTAACATTTTCTCTATCTTTAAAAACTTTTTAATATTCTCTTTGATCCAATGGTGATGTTATGAGTAGTAAGTTAGTAGTGAGAATTTTTAGTAGTTAGAATATTCTTACTCTTACTACTAATCTAGTTTTAAAATCGTTGCTTAAAAGCATATGATATCACGGGACCCATCATGCACAGAAGCTGTCCATTCATATTTATGCATAAAAAGCTAAAGCATGTATATGAATAAAGTCTGAACTGGTAATCGAATTAAAATATAACTAATGCATTGTCCAATAACAAAACCTATTAAGTTAAACCAACGAAAATCTTGGAGCTAGTTTGTTTATAATCCGAATAAAGTTGTAGAAAGGGGGGGGGAGGGGGTTGATAAAAAAGCATAAAGATATAACTGAGTTGAAGAAGCCTAAATTGCTTGCGCCATTAATAAAATCCAGAAACTCCCACATGCTTCCCTAATGCTGCTATCAGAAAACCTTAATTAGATCGATGAGCTAGATAGTCAAGTTTCAATTGAACAAGCTGAAATCCCTGCAAAAGGCCAAACCATAAATTTTGTGATTCTTATTGCCGCTGAAACAAAGAGATAATTCCAAAAGTTTGGTCTTTACTTAGCTAAAGTAGAACATCAACTAATTCGAATTGGCCTATATATAGTGCGACAAATAGAACTAATTAATAACTTATAACAAAGACATAAAGTTTCAAAAAGTAATTCAAAATACAATGCATACAATTAATTGAGAGGTGTCAGGAATTCAAACTTAAGAACAAAGGATAGAATATATTATACTAGAATATAAGCAATCTGCCAAAGTACACGTTCTTTCATTGAATCAAGTCCCTATTAATTGCCTAGAGAGATGCGAATTATATATATATATATATATATATATATATATATATATAGAGAGAGAGAGAGAGAGAGAGAGAGAGAGAGAGAGAGAGAGAGCCTTAAGCAATTTGCTTTTGTATTAAGGAACTAGATAATTAGTTGGGATAAGGAGAAATGAACATGCATTTCTCTCACTATTAGTCAAAACTAACTTTATAATTTAGTGAAATATAGCACGGCTTTAGGGGAAATAAACATTAAAAAATCATTACCAGTAAATTTATTTATTTAACGTTTACTCCTTAAAAAAAATTGCATCCATTTACTATCATACAGCAACTAAACCTTTCATCAAATAAAATTAATAAACAAATATAATACATAAGAAAAATGATCATGATTTAATGACAGTGGGCTAACATTTACCAACACGAACATTTAGTCTAGACTACACGATTAAATATTAAATATTTGGGAAGGATTATATTTATAAACTTTTTGTTTACAAATTATACTGTGTCTGACCAGTTATACACTCTTGATTGAAGTCTGACCAGTCATGCTTAGTATAGTTTGTACGAAATTTTTTTATAAATATAATCTCCCCTAATTATTTTATATAAAAGTTTCTGGAATTTGTCCAGAATCAATTGAAATTTTAAAAAAAATGTTAAAAATACAGCTGCAGGCTTTCAATTTTATACGGAAATTAATCCTCTCATTTAAAAAAATATATGATATTTAAATTAATAATTATGATCAAATAATATGATCACATAATTACTTTTCCACACGAAAACATCCATTATCATTTTATACATGTATGCGTATGATGTGGCAATGACAAGATGATAATAAGAGCAGTCACGCCCCACAAGTTTGGCACTCGTGACTGCCAACCCAAAAATATATCCAAAAATGAAAGAAAGAAAATAAAAACGAGAAGACATGAGAAGAAACAAAGTACTGCAGGACGTCGCTGTCCACCCCATGCAAGACAACGTGTCAGAGCACATACCTTTTTTTTCTGAAGAAATAAAAAAATAGCATCTTTGGAATATTCATGGACCAATAAAAAGTTAACCCCTAGACACATACACATTTGCCAAGGAAATCCTCCTTTAATCCCAATAATTATTTTATAATAATAGGTAACTAATTTTTTTGAGTTGACGATTTGACGTACCTTTTGTACTTTCTTTTCATGTGATGATGATTTTCTCACTGAAAATTCCCTCCTCCTCTAAAAGATTGCCCTGACGGCGCCGTAGCATTTCTTTCGGCCTCCAAAGTGCTCAAGCTGAAACCATGTTGCTGTTGCTGTTCTCTTTGTGAAACCCCACCACTACCACTCATGCTTCTTACTATCTGACCAACACCTAGAAAATCACGGGTGAGCCTATCAGAGCCTCCGATGTTCATTGACTGAAGTTTATTAGGGTCCCTATTTGTGTTGTTGTTATGATCATATGCTTCAAACCCAGTAAGTCCTCCAGAAGACCCAGTTTCGAATATAGAAGAGTTCCCACTAGCAGCAAATGAGTTCATCAAGTCTTGTAGATTGCTCTGTTCGTTTCCTCCGAAAATGTTTCCATAGTTTGCAGCAACCAACGGCCTGTGATCAGATTTGGATCCGCTGCTAGAAGAAGTGCTTCCAAAGCTTTTAAGAAGTGAGGCAGTGCTGTTGCTTGAAGTTGCACCCATTTGAGCAGCTTTCTGAAGCAGTGCAGTTGCTGACATGTGAGATATTGCACTGTTGCTTTGAAGAGAAGTACCGCTGAAGAGAGAAGGAGCACTTGAAGTTGTTGTTGTTTGGTGACCACCACCACCACCTATCATAGTAGTGAAGAAATTTGTCCCTTCATTATTGCCTCCTGTTCCAGTAGTAGTAGTGTTGAAGTGTTCAGAGAAGGAGTTGTTGCTGCTGTTAGTGCTATTACTTGAAAGGAAGGGAATGTTGAAGTGGTTGGCACCATGATTATGATTGTTAAGTACTTCATGATGAGACAATTGCATTAGTCCCTGGAATGGCTTGTTCTGCAACAACCCTTGTTGTTGTTGTTGTGGAGAATTGTTGTGGTAGTTTTGGTTTGATTCAGACATGAAGAATGAAGCTGGAGAATGAACGGTTTGTTGTTGTGAAGGTCTAAAGGGTGATGAACCGAGTGATTGTGGGAGAATGTGGTCGAATTGTCCGGTTCGACCGGCACCACCACCGCCAAGACGCAATAGTTCAGTTGGAGATTGGTTATTTTGGTCTTGCATGTTGGAAATCTGTGGACCCACCTGAGATAAGGCTAAAGCCATGTTGCTACTTCCATATAGGTGGCTCCCAATTGCACCGCTAAGGTTAGGAGGTTGTCTCACACTCTCTTGAGCCAATGCATCACAGAAGGCCCTGTGGGTGATGAAGCTGTCTCGTCTGCAGTGATTATTTAATAATTTCAAATATTAATCCTTTATATTTCTCATGTTACTTACTAGAACTATTCTTCTTTCGTGTGTTACCATTTATGTGACAATATATATGCATGATGATAATTGATCGAGTGAAATAAAATTAAACTATTATGAGGAGAAGAAGAAATTATAAGGAGAAATATTCTGACATACTAGTTGAAACTCATAACTTATCGGTTTCAGGCTTACAGCATCAACTTGCAAACATTAAAAGTAAAATATCACTTTTTTCGTAGTCACCGGAAAAAATATTAATTAAATAGATCAAGAATTTATCACTTCACTAATTATCAAGTTGTCAAAGCTTATTAAGAGAGCATATATATATATATATATATATATATATATATATATATATATATATATATATATATATAAAAAAAAAAATATTTTTACAGCCACTTTAGATAAAGTTATCTACAGCTACCGTTTATAACTATGTTCTCCTGGAAGAATATAGTTATAATATTAAAGTTACTTTTTTCTCTCTCTCAACGTCAGCAAACAAGTTCTGAAAAGTAATTGGAGAGAGAGAAAAAAAAAACAACTTTACAATTATGACTATATCTCTCGGGAGAATATAGTTATAAATGGTAGTTGTAGATAACCTTATCTAAAGTGGCTGTAAAAATGTTTATCCATATATATATATGTGTGTGTGTGGATAAGCTATTCTGCTTACTTTTTTTTTCTGCCTACCACTTTAAAAGACCGTTAGAATAAGAATCTTAATTAACGTTTATTTTTCTCTCTCCTCTTTAAATTCGGATCTAAATGTGTCTTTTAGAGTGATAGACAGAAAAAAAAGTAGCTAGAATAACATATCTCATATATATATATATAGGAGAGCTAATTATTATTATTATTATTATAAGAGAGAGAGATTTGAAGACGGATTTTCTGAGAAGGTTTTTAACCTTAACTTATTTATATATTTTTAAAAAATGTTACATATACAGAAACACTGTAACAATGATATTTAAAGCTGTCACATATCCTGAAATATACATACATTACTAGAAGTAGGACTTGGCTTTTCCAAGTAAAAGACAATAGAAATCTTAACCCCAAAATCCCGTAAAAAAATCTTAACATCTAAATAAAAGAATAAAAATCTTAATTGACCCGAGGACAAATATTTGCGTTCATTTATGAAATGAGTAGTTAGATTAAAAAAGTTACGTGAATATACAACTCTAAAAGTGATTAAGAAGATAGCTGAAAATTCCCTAAAAGACATAATTAAGATAAAGGCTGGTAGGTGGAATAAATTCACCAAAACTTGATAAAAAGATCAATGATCTCAATCAATTAAGAAGTGCAATGTTCAATAAATGGAAGTGAGGAATGTATTCAATGTTGAGAAAATCAATGGATCAATCAAAGAACATTAACGATTCTGGGATCGTGCTCAAACTGGATTGATCAGTTTGACTTCTATGTCATCAAAATTGTCAACGAGATGTTCCCACTTTGTATTCAATAATGAACATTTATTAGGCACTGTACAGATCTGATCTGAATGCAGCAGCATGATCACTCGCTCCACCAAATTAAACTTCTAATCATGTGGAAGAAAAAGAAAAATAGTACACACGAGAGAGAGAGAGGGTGGAGTTGATTGCTTGATCGATTAGGCCCTAACGTTATATCATGAAAAGGAGCACCTCCAAGAGCACAGTACTGAACACTTCTAGCCAACCCAGAAGAAAACAAAGCTGGTAAACAAACACATCACAACACCCCACACACATACACTCTCTCTCTCTCTCTCTCTCCTCTTCATGGCATAGCAACACGTGAATAGTAGAAAAAGAAATGGGCAAAAAACAGCGGTGTTTCCGAGGTAAAATGGGAAAGGTGGAGTTTTTTTTTTTTTTTTTCCATTTTGATTATGCTTTTTTGAGGTTGCCGTTCCTCCGTGTGTTTTATTTATTTATCTGATACCCTTACGACCAAGGCAGTTTCCAGAGATCATTCACGTGGGGGGATGTTTCCTTCCATTTTACTTGCCTATCGTACCAATAGAAATGAAAGATGACAAAGGAAACCAAACGAGAGAGAGAGGACAGAATCTTAATCAATCAACTCGAAGGCAAAACCAAACCAAGCCAAACTCAATAGTCAATACATAAAGAAAGCATCTAAGACCTTTTCCTCACTATAGCCACTTGAAGAATCTAATAAGCCCTAAGCCAACCCAAACTATAGCCAAAACCAAACAAAAACAGTTCTTCCTTCTGCTGTTTATTACCATTTCCGTGTTAGCCTATAGCTAGCTTTGTATATCTAGCCTGTGACTAAAAATTGCATAATAATAATAATAAAAATAACTGTTTGGAAAAAGGGTAACATGTTTAATTGAAGTGTTACCTGGAGAAGAGAGTGCCACAGTCACATCTGTATTCCCTGGTGCCACAAGTCTTAGAATGGGCTTTCCAATCTGATTGAACTGCATACTTCTTTGAGCATTTCTCACACTTCCACTTCTTCTCACCATGCTTGCGAGAATAGTGCTTCTTAATCCCAGTGAGGTCACCCAGAGCCCTTGAAGGGTCATGGTGGACGCATGTGGGCTCAGGACACAGATAAACCTTTCTCCTTGGCTCTTTTGTAGTCTTCTGCTTAAGCTTCCAAGGCAGGTTGTGTCCTCTTCTGTGAAGCTGTAGGTTTTGCTCCCTTTGGAACCCTTTGTTGCACACCTCACATATAAACCTGTTTGTTGCCATTAGGGTCTTGGGAGATAGTGCTATCACCTCCGCATCTGGATCTGTTACCATGGAAAAATGCCAAACAACAAATAATTAAAAAATAATCACAAAGTTAAATTTTTTACAAGGCAACCAAATTGAGAAACTAAGCTTCAAGACAAAGAAGACTTCCAAGACATATATACCCATTTAATTTCAATCCATTAATTTTACTTTTATATATATGCTTTAATTTAAATTAGGGTTCCCTGGGGGAATTCATATCAAATGGATTAAAAAACAAAAAATGGGTAACCATAAAAATAGATAAAATCTATGAAAGGAAAAAAAAAAATAGAAAAAAATGTATCATTGATCATATATAGGAGATGATTTGGAGATTGGATCTTTCCGATAAAAAATTTTAAGATACTTGCTTGGTGTTCCAGGTTGGTTTCTCTTTTTCTTCTGGGGTGGTGCAGCTGGAATTGTTGACGATGATGGTGTCATGGAATGCTGTTGTTGGTTCATCTGGTTCTGATCCTCTTCTCTATATCCAAAGAGCGATGCTGAGGAAGATGATGCCGCCATCTCTTATAGCAAGTCCTATATATATATATGTATATATATATATCGATCTTCTGCTTCAACCTTACAACTCAGCCAGAATTCTGGAAAACCCACATGCAATAATTTGAGTCCTCTTCAATTCACATGCCGAATCTCAGAAAACTCATAATCAATGGAATTCTTGCAGATTAATAGCAAAACAAAAATCTAGAGGAGAAAGAGCAAGCTAAAACAGAGATATCTCATCTAAGTTGAAGAAGAGGAAGGAGTAGAAAATCAACCCCTCCATGGGCACTATTTGATATGATTTTCCACCTCAGTTTGGCTTGTTTTAAATGAGAAAATTGAACTAGTAATATTACTGAGTTTCTTCACTGATTTGGTGTCATGCAGATACACTTACACATATACACACACAGCAATTTGCTTCTTTCTTTCTTTCCCTTTTTTTTTTTCTTTTTTCTTTTTCTTTATTATTCTCTGCCTTATTTTCCTCTTCAAAAGTTTTTCCAGATTTCACTCGCTTCTCTCTTGTCATAAATGAAATTTTACAATATAAAAAAAAATAAAATTTAATGAGAGAGAGAGAGGGTAAGGCCTACGGGTCGGTGGACCCAATCCTTAGCCGCATAACGACATAGGATGTGCGAAAGCAGCATGAAACAGCTACACCACTCTCTCTCTTCTCTCTCCCTCTCTTTCTATCTCTGATTTCGTATCTTCTCCCTCACTTCCAGACAAACTTTCACTCATCACCCAACCCCACTGGACCTCACAGAAAATTCAAAAAGGCTAAAAAAAAGGACCGTGAAACTAAAAGTCTTAAACCATAAAACCAATGCAGAGTAATCAATAAAAAGCATTGGTAAAAGAAATGAAACTAATTAAACTAAGCAGAGGGAAATGAAACAAATAATAAATGCTAATTAAGGATGTTTTGTTTTATTTTTTTGGATTTTTATAATTATTTTTTGTGAAGTGGAGAAACACCTGATGGTTTGATTGGGTGAGTTCTGAAGGACACTGTTTGTCTGAAATTCAGGGGAGGCAGAGTGTACTCTGTATTGTTACCGTTTAAGGTCACTGACATGGAAAGGGCAAAAAAGGATTCTGAAACTCTCTTTGCTGTGTTTGGCTCACTTGGGTTGGGGTACTTCTGTTCTCTTGTTGCATGCAATGCAATGGCTGGCTGGTCCTTCCCCAATGTCACATCACGGAGGGTCACGAGAAAGGGTAGTTTCGTCATTTGATTTTTTTTTTATAAAAAAAAAATGGGGAAAATCACAATCATAAGACCCAAGAAAAGACCAAATCCAACCACTATGGATAAACAAATCACACAGAATTTTTGACAATCAGGGTGCTCTTGCTAACCTCACAGCCTGTCTCTTGCTTTCAGGAGACAGCTGAATTCTAGACCGTGGATCATCTTGGGAAGAAGATCTTTGTCAATTGGATTTTTCCCCGAGATATTACCATGGAATAGAATAAAGTGAAATGTGTGCTTTTTGGGAATTATGATAACTCTTGACAGGGATAGTTATTAATATTTTTCTCTCAGCTTTTTTTTATAATTGTTTTTATGAAGACAGTTTCTTTACATTGCTGTCCTTTCTTTTAATTTTAAATCTTATTTTATTGATAAAGTTTCAACAAACAACCAATGGTTGCGAGTGAAGTTGTCATTCTTTCAAAGAATGACAGCATAACCATAAATAAGTTTTTTGAGATTCATATTAGTAAGAGATAAAGGTCTAATTTTGTGAGTCATAGAAGGGTCAAGTATATCAGTAACTCTATAAGTCTATATAACTTAAGCATGCCCTATAACTACCATACAGCAGCTCTCTGTCTTCTAACCACCATATAGTAACACTGTATTAGTAGCAGAATTGAGCCAATTTGAGAAAGATTATTCCTACATTTGTCAAAAAGGGTTCATTCCATCATATATACTATGGATTTCATGAATTTCGATTTTCTCATATTGTAAACACATCTTATGTGGGGTTCATATTTATTAAAAAACTAAAAAAGTAAAAGAAAATATTGCACAAAAATCGAAGGGTTACTAGTAGAAGAAATAACTCTCCTACGACATGAAAAAATATTTTCTCATAAACTATAGATTGACTATTTATATTTTTGAGTTTTCTCATCTTCCGAACCCAAAAATTAATTCTTTCGAGACGTAAAGGTTTTTGAAGTGAATTTTGTCTCTATTAACAAAATATTTTTCATACACACCGTCAAAAATTGAACCCCTATCAATATATTTAAAGAATTCAACCATCTATTATGCCAGACTTTATTGGTATAAATTGGCTATTTAAGGTCGAATCGGATCTATCCCCTAAAGTTTACACATTAAGGGCTCGTTTGGTGGACAGGACGAGATAAGGGTAGAGATATGATATGGGACTGATAAGGGTAGAATATGATATGGGACTGATAAGCCTATATCATATCTTGTGTTTGATGAGCACCTGATTAGCAATCTGATAAGATTGTGTAGAAGGAAAAAGAAAAAAGAAAAAAGAAAATAGAATGCAATAAATACAAATATATTGGGTAGAGTGAGGATATATTGGGTAACGTGAGGATATATTGGGTATTTAATATTGGTATCATATCCTGTTGAATCCTAACTCAGCTCCCCCCATAGATAAGAAATCATGTATTGGATAGGATAAAATGAGACAATATGATAAGCTAATCATATCCTATTGACCCACCAAACAAGAGATAAAAGTAGGATATGATAAGTTATTCTATCTTATCTTCCTTATCAGGTGCTCCAAACAGGCTCTAAATGACTTCACTCATATAACTTTATGACATAATACTACATGTGCTAATTTTCTTAAAATAAAAAATAAAAAAAATCCATACAACAACATAGAATTAAATAGAAACTCAACAAACTTTACAATCAAACAAATTAACAATAATAAATATTATAGTACTAAGGTGACGTTAAATTTCTAATTCTTAATCTGACCTCCTTTTTTCAATATATACAACCAAGTATGGGAGTTTATTTCTCTTCGAACTTATACTTTTTATATATATATAAAAAAAAAATCTTAAACAGTCAACCTATGACAAACATATAAACATGCCAATTTCTAGGCTTAAAACCTATATGGAAGTTGGTGAAGTTATAGTGTTTAGCTTCTTGCAATTAATCTTAACATTAATCAAGCTGTATTTTATTTTGATTTTTAAGTTGATCAATGAGAAAGGACCCCATAACAAATAAAAAAAATGTTTTTTCTATAATGAAGTCCGAATCATCGTTTTCTTTGTTGGTTTCTATTCTGTTGTCATTCCTTTTGACAAAGATCCAAAGTACAAGAAACCAAATGGAAAATCTTAAAGAATTATGGTCTGTAATATAAAAGGATAAGAGCCTGCATCCATAACTGTACTACTTCATTGTTTAGTCTTAAGATCTCTAGAATATTCAAACATAGGGACACAAAAACAGTCAAACAAAATAACTAATGCTACTTTCTAATCAAAACCTGTCCAACATTTTAACATATCTTTTAGTTTAAAAATAATATTTAATTTACCAAAAAAATAATATTTAGACTCAAACGATAAACGTTTCAATTCCTACTAGACAGGCAAGATAAGTAAAACTAACAGTTACAAAAACATTGAAGAAAGAGAGTAATGTTATTAATGCCAAGTACCAACATATTTACACATATAATTAATGGTTTTAACGTTTCTAAAGTGAATGTAGATAAGTTATCTACATTCGCTACCCAAAACGACGTCGTTTTGGGTTGAAAAATTAAAAAATTATAATGAAAAGACTATTATAACCCTGAAATAAATTATAATTACAAAAATATCATAATTTTCGTCTCAAAACAATGTCGTTTTGGGCTCACCGTAGATAATTAATTGACAAAAGTCACAAAACCGTGTGTGTGGATTGAAACCCATATTTTTCAAACCAAAGCATTTGAAGACAAAGGACTCTGGTGAGACTCTTTTAGACTTTTAGTGACAACTCATAGTTCATGCTGCTACACGAAGACGAAGGTCTCCTTCACAAAGACACACACGCCCCCATATAATTTTCAACGGCGGCGGCATTTCCTCCTTACAAAAACTAGCCTTGTCTTTTCTCATAGTTTCTCCGCTATATCCTGTTACCAACTACAATCCAAACTCATTCCTCACGTACCCAGCCATGTATTCAAAATGGTAAAAAAAAAAAAAAAAAATATTTGGTAGTCAAAAACGTTACAGGAATAAAGATCAAACATTAGTAAATAACTATTGGTTTAAGATGTAAAGAATTTATTTTCTTAATTAAAGGTTTTGAATTAGAATCCTTATGATGAGTTGGACAGTACTCAAATCCAACTACTCTGTGGATATATCTAGAAAGCAAGCATTAACCGGGAGAATAATTTCGTAACTTGTAATCCCTTCGTAGATGAATAAAGGACCTTAATCTATTATACCCCTCCAAAAAAAAAGACCCAATCCCAGAGTTGCTGAGGGTAATAATAGGTTGGGCTTATAGTCAATGGGCTTGTTGATTGAGCTCATCTTCAAAATATAGATACTGAGAACAGTTTAAATGGAAAACATGAAATTGGACTAGTAACTCGCGAATTTGATATAAAAATAGTAGATTGAAAATATTTCATTATTGAAACAAAAAATGTAATATATATATATATATATATATATATATATATATATATATATATATATATATAAACAACTTCGAAGCACAAAGGAATGATGCCGACACGGGAGACAAAAATGGATTCAATAGAAATTATACAAGAATACAAATTTAAGAGAGTTTTTATCATAATATAATTGTTGATAGAATAACCTCACATTTCGGCTAAGTTTAATTATAAAAATATTGTTTTGGATTGATCGCTATTGGCCCAAGGCCATTCGGTCGGCTAGTCAAGACCTACGAAGGGGTCTTATTTCTGCTTCCCCACATTGAACATATGGATCTCAGAACAGAGGATCTTTCACCTCCTATACAACTCACTATATCCACGTAGTAGAACATGTCATCACATATATGGTGAGACATGGGACAAAGATGGTTATGAGTCTTCTTTCTAATTGAAAGAAAATATTTTTCACCTATATATAGTTCTTTTGCAAAAATTAAGGCATTTGTAAATTATCTTTTTTATTAACGGTTACTCAGTCAAGATAAAAAGTTATTGTGCTCATTCACATCCCCACTCTCTTAGTTTAACTTGATATAGTACTTACGTTGTCTTTCTTAGAACTTTGGTTCATATCTCTACTACTTTGAACACTCACATATCAATATACATCACTCATTACGGGATACAGACATAACTCTAACTCCATAATAGCTCAAAAACGAAACAAATTTAACTTAAAAGTTTATCGGATTGATTCGAATTGCAACTAATTCACCTCAACTTGTTAATTCTCCTGTATCTGTGTATTTTATAGATTAAGAATTTTTATTGATGGACCAAATTAAGTAAATTA